TTGAAAGTGCCAGCAACCACAGTGTTTGCTTCACTGCTCTGTTGCTCTGGGTTTCAGTATGGGAGCTTTCCATAGACCAAGAGACCAAACCTTCTCTTCTGGGACAGTGGTTTTGGATATTTCGAAACACAGCAAACAGTTTTCTAGTTTGCCAACATTTTATTTTTATTTCATCGGAAGTGATGTCATGTGGTCAGTGTTGATATAAACACATTACAGGGTTTTTCTCCGAAGGACTTCCCAAACAATTTAGAGTGCAGCTCTGTGATCGTAAATGGTTATGGTACCGTAAATCTTTGGAAACATTTGGGGATTGTCGTATTTAGCATTAGTGAGGTTGCATGTGTTGGTGTTTTTACTTATAGCACCTTGAAAATGTTCCATCAACTCATAAATTAAATTACATTTGTATGTAAAAAAAACTGTTATTAGACCATCTCAGCGCAGTGTTACTTTTTCAACTTAGACTGGATAATATTCATGAATAACTTTCTGTGGGCTCCATTGCCTGTATTGATATTGAAAATACTTGATAAACATGTCAATTCATACTTTCTAGGCCAGCGTACAGAACAGGACATGATGCCAAACTAAACCAAAAATGTGCTGGAAACAGTTCTTTCCACCTGCTTGCTTGTGTCTGGTGGATTACGTCATTTTATCAAAATTCAAAACAAGGTAATTGGAGAGACCAAAACCACCACATATGCATATGTTGTTTACATTAATGATTTTCTTCTAAGGCTAAGCCCTTGATCTGCTCACTGTCATGTTTGTGTTGTATAAATACACATTTAAATCCTCTAGAAACCTAAATCTGATTTGGAAATTTCTCAGCAATTGCACTGCTTTTTTTGGAAAGTGTCAAGTCTTGACAGGATTTTCCCTTATAAAGGAAACAGTTACCCTAAACTTCTTTGTTGTTACAAAACCATATTGCTCTTATACAGTACATACTACTGGGGTTTGATAAGTGGCTCTTGGAAATGTTAGAAATCTCTACGACATCATCATGAGCTGAAAATTGAGCAACCTAACTGGCGCCAAAAAAATCATCCACCAGTTTCATAGACTGTTTTGATAATAATAATGTATACAATTATCTCAATCATTTTTCTCCCAATCTTTCAATTTGACTTATTTCCATTTTGCTTAACTGGCTGTATTTCTAATTTACTGATTCACTGTCGACTTTGAGCCTTAAGTTTGGGCAGATTCAAATCCAAAATGTAGTAAAGATAGATTTAAATCACTGTCAGGATTCTTGTTAATGGAATAACATCACCATCGCCTCATAACATATAGTTGTCAGAGATGACTTCTAACTTGTCATCCTCTAGTTTGCTTGGCTTAACACATTTGGCTATATTTGACATTCTTATCTTTCAATAAGCCATTGTTTCAGCACGATCCCTTATAAAAAACTCACCACACGGTAATAATTTCAAATCTTCTTTCCAAGGATTTTTTATTAACCACCATTAATCATATCACAAACAGTCAGAGTGAACTCTTGACTGTCGACTGTGCAATTCGTTTTGCCTCATCTATTCCCTTGAGCTCTACAAGTCAATATTGTCCATCACACACATTCCAGCACATTCCCATGACCTGGCGGAGTTCACAAGATGCGTAAGCACGTGATGATGATGATGATAATAATTAAGGAAAATTACTTTTTCTTTTGTATTAATGTAGGGAAGGTCACCTGGCAAAGGTCGGTGTGTGACTACATGACTGCACAATCGCAGTGAACCTGATGCTCTCTAGCATTTGTATTGTAACATGAGTGAAAGGAAAACTGGAGCAGACATTCTCCCTTTGCCCCGCTTGCTGTGTCGAGACAGGAAATCCTCTTTTGGATTGTTAAATGAAGAGCTCAATTCCAACAATCACTCAATCCCAGGCGTGTGCTGCCATACAGCTGAGATCTGGAGCCAATGGCATGGGCAAACTGACAGAGACACAAACACATGCATACACATTACTTGCATTGACTTTGATGATCAAGTACATAACCCTGGACTTTATTATGTTTTCCTCATTTTTATTTGAGCCTGTAGGATTTTACCTTCTCTGCAGTAAGTCCTCAGTTTTACAAGGCCAGATCCCAGGAAAACTGATTAGTTCTGCCATCGTCCATGTCCCAGACCTGGATAAATTAGTAAACTTTCCTCTCATCATGTCCATTCGTTCATTCATGGAATAATTTTGTGTCCAAAGCCACAGCTGCCGCCATAACTTATACTGCTGCACGAAAAAACTTAAATTATGGAATATTCGCTTACATTTCTCATGACCATACTCTAAAACCCTTGTTGGCTTTCAGAATCTGCAGTGTAGTTTCAGATTGTCTATCCAAAAAGACAAACTCTTGCTCAATTTCTTTGCTAGTCATTCCACAGCTGATGGTTCTTAGCATCGGGTATATGATTAAATCTCTTTACAACCCTTCCAACAGTTGATTTTTGGAGTGTCCTGCTGGATAATGCATATCATGAGTTTGTTTCATCAGTCAGCGCTGAAGTACAATAGCACAAACCAATTAAATATGTCACAGCTTGTTAGTTAAAAGGTTAAAGGGCCCATGTCATGCTTTTCCGGTTATTACCCGTCCCCTTGTGTGTTATGAAGGTTTTTATGCATGTAAACGGTGTGCAGAGTCAAAACCCTCAAAGTACACCCTGTAGCGAGTAAAACTCTAACAAAGAAAATACCTCCCCAAAACGCCTCGTTGGAGATACGTCATTGTCCATTTGATTCTTCCATTTCGTTCCGGGTACGGCATGAGGTCAAGCCGTACCCGGAACGAAATGGACCAATCCGTGGAGCCGTTACGTTACGTCCGCGGAGCCGTTACGTTAAGCCCCCGCTGATTGGTCCAAATTGACCAATCCACGGACTTCCTCACACACACATCTGTGTGCAGGGAGCAGGCAGCTCAGCTGATTTCTCCTCCCTGGCTGCAGGCTGATAACAGACAGTTGGGATCGCGGCGAAATTCTCTCTGCAGACCCATTCTCACAGCGTTTATCAACCTTTTTCTTACTCAATATCAAGCCACACTTATTGTTTTTACTTCGGCTGTGACTTTGTGTGTGCTCAGGATGAGTTTGGCTGTGTTTGGCTGTGTATCGCTAACAAGGAAACGACACCTCCACGGAGCTCAGCGCGATTCACAACGTCCCGACCAATCAGAGCACACTGTGCTCACAGGGAGGGTGGGGGCTGGAGCTATTGGAGCTACAACGAGCCGTTAAAGGCAGAGAGTGAAATTCCAACACAGTCTCACGGCATTTCGTGTTATAGTCACGAAATGAATCTATTGATTCGTGTTCACCAACACGATTTTGCCATTTTTTTCGTGTCACACAGAACGATTTTAAAAGCAATGTAAATAATAACAAATTAGAAGGAAAAACAGATAAAAAAAAATACAGATTTCAGTATTCTGACACAGAACGATTTTAGAAGCAATGTATTTATATTGGTAGTATGTTTCGTGCCTGCACCAAATAATAACAAATTAGAAGGAAAAAAAGATTTTTAAAAATACAGATTTCAGTATTCTGAGGCTCTGAGCCCCATTTATTTTCCTCACGGACGGCAAAAAAACTCAGACATTATACAATTTAAAATAAAAGGGATAGGGTTAGGCTTAGGGTAAGATATTGAGTAAGAAAATGTTTTTATGAACCACACAGCTTGGTATTCCAAGACCCGACCGGACAAAAAGACGTGGTGCAGGCACGAAACATACTACCAATAGAAATACATTGCTTTTAAAATCGTTCTGTGTGACACGAAAAAAATGCGAAAATCGTGTTGGTGAACACGAATCAATAGATTAAATTAATTTCGTGACTATTACACGAAATGTCGTGAGACTGGGTTGGAAATTCAGTGAATACACGTAGTTTACAGAGATGCTGTATGAGAAACCAATGTGAGTTTGGAAAATTGCACAATATAAATCTATTCTAGTAGACCTCAACAATGGAATTATGATCAGTGGAAATGGCCATGACATGGGCCCTTTAAAGCATTTTTCAGTGCATTTGAGTAATATGTAGGCACACCTAATTCCCAACATTTGCCTCCATAGGTGACAAACTGGTAATGTTTTCCCCCCAGTGTCTACACTCAGTCAGTGGGCAGAACAAAGCTCAGTGTTCACACAGTATTTGCTAATAAAATATTATCGCCTTTGACATGTGGTTTAAATTAATTGGCCTCCCACCGCATATAATTGCCATTAAACGTAATCATAGTGATCCTGTAGCTCGGTTCTCTCCTCTGCGTTTTGTTTTTATTGATATGAACCAGGTTTTTCCCTCAAATAAATTGGTATTTCTGGCCTCAGCTCACCAGTCTCGTAGGATTTCGCTTTTAGTCATCCCATAACAACTAGAGGGAATTTTTAATCCTCCCGTTATTTTTATTTCATTGCTGTTTCTTGCACACATGAGGCCACCATGTCTGGGATCCAGAACGACCCTCTCAGGGGTTTCTCTGCATGGGTTGATGCCAGAAATCTGTCATGAAATGAGGTTAGGGGATGCAGGTGGGGGTGGAGGGTGTCCACAGTACTGCAGCAGCTTTCCAACTGCAATACCTCATCAGTAGGAATACAATTAGAACTTTCTCATGATCAAACCTATAAAGTTTAGTTTCTTTGCTTTCACTTTGGCTGGAACTGCTGTGTTCACATTTCAATACACTGCCCATCACCTGACCTGACCTTGGGCACATGTTTATGCCAAGACAGATTTCCGTTTTGGTGTCAGAGATTATGGAAGTGTTGGAGAATGTTTATCTAATAGAAGGGGGGTCATTGTTCAGAAATGCTGTTTCATGTTGCATTGCAATAAAATAATAATCAAAAAGACATGGACGGCTTAGAACTGATTGGCTACACTTTTATCTCAGATTACTTTTAGATGGTGTCATGCGTGTTGTTGATAGAGGATGACCTATGCGCTCTCTCTTGTATGTTTCAGGTGTGTATGTACCACCTGGTACTGGGATTGGACCAGGAGGCGCCGGACCAGGAACTGGATTCTTTCCAGGTAACAGAGCCTCTGCTGACTGCCTGGACAGTTTAAAGAGAATAATCCACAACACAGCGACAAACAAACAAAGTCTGTTTGTGTTTAGCAGACGTATAACAGAGTGATGTAGTAATTCATTGTTTTACTCAAAAGATAAAATAATTAACACATTTCTTTTATAAATGTCACGCCTTTAGGATCATGCAACAGTAATACTTCTTACAGTTGCAAATAACTCACTTTATTCATTGCAGAATGTATTATGGATACGTTTAAATAAATAGAATTGTAAAGCTCCTACAAGCTGTATGGAGCTTTGCGCTCTCATAGTAAAGAAACAAATGCAGACATGTATAAAATGCCACAAGACGCTACAATACGTTCAATCAGGATGTCCTGTAATAAAGTAGGACTTCGGATGGTGTAATATTAAATTGCTTAGCCAAAAAACTGTACATTACATCACTACATGTACGCATACCATAACTATATACTTTGTATGATTATTATTTTACAAGGGTCTGCTGGAGGAGTCCCTGCGGGCTATAAACCAGCAAAAGCTGCAGGTGAGTAGAAGAGACATTAGATTTATGATCCTTTCCCCCATCTCCTGTATAAGAATTGCATCTGGTTTATCGTACACTGGTGCACTTCTGTTTCGCTGCTTGGATATAAAAAGAGAACACTGTTTATTAGTAGGGAATTATATTGTCAAATATTTAGAAATCTGTATTACTTACAACAATTACAAAATTACAAAATTACAAAAATTGAACTGTTGAACTGTTGAAACAACTTCAAACATTCAACTGCTACTCAGTAGTATGTATCTAATACCTAATATATATATATCATTCCAATAACTTGTATATAGACTCATACTGCACTATTCCACATCATAACTTTATTTCATTTTTATAACTATTATTATTTTTGTATTGCTCTTGCTCTTATTGTTATTATGTTATGTTATTATGTTGCATTGTTGGAGAAGCCTGTGACATAAGATTTTCAACTGCATAATTACTCTGTAGCTATGTCAGATTGACAATAAAGAACCTTGAACCTTGAACCTTGATTACTAAGTTTCTCTGCATTTTTTATAGCCAGGAGTACTAAAGCCATTACTGCAGGAAGAACTGAACCTCAAGAAGAAATAATTGTATAAAACCAAATCCCTTGTCAATACTCAGCGTCGGTCTGGTCCGACCTGGCGGTAACACATGCACACACTTCCTTGTCACAATACCACAAGCTTAGAATTAAATGCTCAGAACATTGCTGTAGCAATAAACAATTTGTGTTGATCCAACCACTGTTATTGAGTCAGTTTATTGGAAAACATTTTGAGGTTTGAGGTCTGCACATTTGTGGCCGGTTACACATTTTACTTGTACAAGCTCAGGGGTGAGTAATGGTTATCATAATCTTAGCAATGGAAAGCCGAAGTAATGACGATTACAACATGACCACAAGGCAAGAACATTGTTAGCAGGTGATAGCAATGCATTTTGACAACAATAATGACAATATGATCACAATCACTGTGTTTGACCCTGACAGTCGGAGGTTATGGAGGTGGGGGCCGTGGAGTAGGACCAGGGGGTCTGGTGCCAGGAGGCGTTGGGCACGGTGGCCTGGGCGTTGGAGGACTGGGAGCAGGTAAGAAGATGAAAATAAAAACTTGTTGTCACTAATAGTTTAAGTATAAGTAATCTTAATGGGCCTTTTAAATTGAGTTTTTAAATAATATCAACACACATTTGTAATTATTGGTAACAGAAAATGATTATTGTCATACACGGTATATACTGTACACAAGAATATATGACAATATGGACAGTTTTGATAAAGGGCAAAAGCGTAGCCTCACATGTGTTTTAACTTGTTTTCACCCAACAGGACAAGGTGGAAAGCCCCCTAAACCAGGTAAGTTAACAACATTTCTGCTCTTTACTGAGTTTTGGGGTGTAACTTAATAGAAAATATACTTTTTATTTTGTATGTGCATATATTAAAATGGAAAAATGTATATTCATTTATATAAATATGTTTTATGTTAGATTTGAAAATGTATTCCTAACCATGTGTTGTTACAGTATACTAATTGAAAGTTCAATGAGGTAAAAGCTATAAAGCCGTAAAGGTGAACAGATTGTTGAATGGAAAACTACTTTGCAATACTTGCACTTTTAAAGAAAGGAAATGTATTTTTATGGGGTGGAACATGTTTATTTAAAATGTATAAACTACAATACATTCACACACCAATGGAATAGGGAGACATGCACGGATGCAAGGAAGGGGCCACAGAGTCTTTTGATGGGTTGTCACCAAGTTTTCTTATCACAAAGTTGCTTGGCAGCTGTGGGGCGTCCTGACAGGGTGGGTTGATGCAGATATTTCCAGGAATGTTACACCTCTGCAGTATGAGGGGGTGATGATTGGCAAACGGGCATCAACGCCTGACTAACAATGGTGCCAGGGCACTGATTAATGTTATTGTAATGTTAGACCCCTACAATATCTGGAAACCCCGTGTTGAAATTTACCGTGGCCCTTCTCTCCGATACCATACAGTAAATATTTTCCTTTGCTGTATCACAGTCTGCGCTGCATTGCTGTGTGAGCAATGTTTAGCCATAGCTGAATTTCCGTAAGCATTGCTGATACTATCTCGGCTTACCTCTACGTGTCGACAAAGATAAGGAAACAAGCAACCGTTTTATAGACTCTGGAGTGCCACACCTTCGCCCTTAAGAGCAGTTACAGGGGAGCCATTTTGTGAAAATGACCTAATATCAAGTATTTGGTAGAGGTTTGTTTTGGCTGGTGGCAACAGAGCTGTGTGGGAAATATTGCCCTGGCTTTTGTATGTATTTAAGTTCTTCCTCTAGTGTGTGGCACAGGATGTTAAAGGCAGTTCCTTGTGTTTTTTTAAGTAAGTGCTGTTTGGATCTAGGTGTTCCCTCCATTACAAATCTCTTAACACAGAGCTATGGGTCATTTAAGGTTTTCTTAAAGGTAACAAAGGGCTTAAAATCCCTAAGTGGTTGTAATACTGTATGTAATATATATTGTTTTTGTAGTTTTGTTCTGTAATCCGTGAATTTTCCTTTCCAATAGCGTTTACTTTTCATTTTGGCCTTATTGCATTCCATCAGATATGAAGCTATCCAAATTTGGATATGACAACTTTTTGCATATCTTACAAGTAATATTTCCATTACTATTCAAATGCACGTCCACAGTACAGCAGCAGGTAAGACTCTTAATGGCAGGTTAAATCCATCTGCATTAGTTAGTCAGTTTTTGGCTTATGTTGCAGAACACATGCCAGAAGAATTGATATGCTACAAGCTCATGAAAATCTTCGACCCCTTTATTAACCATTAGTATATAAAGCACGATTCTGGACACACAAATGCAAACAACTACTCTTAGATGCACAGTCACACACACATTAAGAGAGCTGCCATTCATTCTTATGTGGAAGCCTTGCAGGGACATTCCACAGATATGCACCTTGCTTGGCCAGTAATGGAGAACAGCAGCTGGCTATGTGAGTAGCGTGACTGCAGTGAATTGCAGCCCAGCTCATGCAAGATCTTGTAAATGTCACACTAATTGTGAAGGCTGTCAGCATACAGCTTTTGACAATACACTGAAAGTTGGAAAGAGGAACTTTCTCTTTATGAACAGCTGTTGGACACCCTCTCCTTTCCTGTGTTCCCTTAAAGGTGGGCTCAGTCCTCATGGTGTGATTGCCAAACTTGGCTTTTTCATGCTATAGCCTCTTGTCACTTTCAGACAGTTAAGGCAGTTTATAACGGACATAAGAGGTTTTTGCTCCCGGTGTAGTTTTACTCTACCATTTAAACACATGTTTTAGGTTGAGAGAGAATGTGTCTGGGAGGGATACCTACAGTATGTTTCTAGAATCTCAGAGAGCAATACACGTATATACAATACACAAATATGATCACATTTTGTAAGTATATATACATGTATATTTTATTAATATTTTGTCTATTCTTTTTATCAATGAGGATCTACATGACTACACAAATCTTTCATTGGTGTTTAAGGATAACTGGCAGTGTCTGGCCATATAAAGTTTGTGGGAGATGTGTGCGAAAACAATTATGTCTGACTAAAGTAATGAATTTGACGGCTAGCTGGCAGTGTGTTGTTTGCAGCTTACCTGAAGTTGGTATCATCAGCTAGCCAGAACAAAGCCTCCCTGAGGTGCCTATCAAAAAGGTGGCATTCGTAGAAGTTATTGCACTAGTTTATGTTATTTTTGCACTTGCGGAAATTGACAATGTCAGCTTAATAATATGAGCATACAACATAACATTGTAATGCAATACATCTCAGCAGCACCACAAACCACAGCCTGCTTCAATTAAAGTAGGATTTATTGCAGGGTATGACTGCATGATATTTAGATAAGTATTACAAATAAACTGAAGGCTGAGTTTATATTGTTCTCACTACTTATCTCACCTTTATTCTGGCTCTTCCCTGCCACTTAGTTATCCTAACAATGTGAAGCAATGGAAAATAGTCCCCGCAATTAGATACAAGATAAAATCGCGCTTAAAGATGGAAATATCTATATACTTTAAGATGATAGATTACATTGGCCAATAACACAACAGGTCTACAAGTTCTGCAATCTTGGATCCTTCTGTGACTACAGACAAACCTGCAGAGAGTATACCTATACAAATACCTGTAATTAATGATTTTAAGTTTGTATAGCCTGTGGCCAACACAAATGATTGCTCACTTAAAGGCTGTATCTAGAAATATTCCTCTTTTGTAGGTAATCAAGAACATTGTTATAGCACCCCTACCCTCTCATTTCAACTTACACTCTTTGGATCGCTTACAATAATATGTGAATCCAATATGCAATTTAAAACACACAGCCCTTCAGTACACCTGGTTCTTCTATTTTCAAAACCTTCAAACCCTCTGGAACATATCGAGGTCATTGTTTAAAGTAACGTTGAGTGTCCTCGGAAATGCATGGAAATGGAAAGATGGAAGGGATATTGGGAGGACAGAGAAGAGACAGGGCTGAAGCGAGGAGGACGGAAACAACCAATAACTCTTGAGAACAAACCGTATACTCTATATGTATATACACATACCACACACATTATATGCACATTCATTTACATAACACACATGCTTAGAGAGCTTGATGAAAGGAAGGAGACTGATGGATTGAGGTGAGGGTGAAAGTGTTTAGCCAAAAGAAGATGAACTTGGAGGAGGTTTAGTCTCCTGGAACACATGTGCTTCTCATTACTGGAGCTCAGACCTGTCCTCTGCTTTCAGAGACTGCAAGCATCTGCCTGTAAATGTGTATAATGCGATGTTCAAAACATGGACACAGACATACAAAGACACACACCACAAGTTACTTCAACTGTTGGTTATTCAGACACTATAAGAAGGCCTTTTCCTCTCTTCTTTCCTCCACAATTCCCTAATGTGTCCTAAAAAAAAGTCTCAGTTCCAAGTGTTAAATATCTTGGAAGCTAGTCTGTCTGCAGAGGCCATTAGAATTAGCCCACCCAATATACACACAGCAATTACTGTGTGTATATTCGCATTGGAAATGCCTGTAGCTACCCAAATCGTTTTTTTTTGGATGATGTCACAAGATGTTGTTAGTGTCTTTTAATAATCTCCTTAATTTTTCCAAAGAATAAAATGAAATTGGCATAAAGCAAGAGTAAGATAAGGCTTTATTAGTTTTAAATTGTGTCTAATCAGTCACGCTAATTACAATTTCTAACTTCCCAAATTGAACCAAAGCTTTCACTATGACTCCATAACAGCATCCTGGCCTTTCACCAGCCTGTTCTGTTTGCATGATAGTTTTCCAGTGACTATGTTACCACCGGTCTAATTTCTTTCCATGTTCGCTGTGTTGGTTGATGAGCCATCCCGTCGCATGCTCTCACGGCCTCTCCCCTGCTCCGTTGGCCAGGAGGCCTGGATCATGGAGCGCTATCGTTGTCCATCTGGCAGCACAGCCTGAGTGTTGTTTATAGTGATGGAGAAAGAGTCCAGGAAGACAGATCACCAGTTGAAGGACCTTGTTGTAGTTATTGTGAACCGAAGTCTGTTAAACCTGAGAGCCTGTTTAGTGGATTTGTGGCTGAGTAAGTAATTACAATGAAGTTTTCTGAGCCAGTAGATGCAAGTCGAAGCTATTTGTCCCCCACTGGGCAAGTATAGAGGTAGCTGATCAAATTGTGCAACACTGTTATTGGCATATAAAGATTAGGAACACGGTTTATGATCAAGGATTTACACATATCTTACAGTATATGTGAGTTTAAGTGTAATGCAGGCTTGCAGTTGTTTTGCAACTTAAAGGTCCCATATTATACTGTTTTTCATCAATATATTATAGGTCTCAGATATATACAAAACATGTCTCTGAAGTGTTTGGCTCGAAATACCAAACAGATCACCTATTGCAGCATCCCATAATCCCCTCTGTTTCAGCCCTGTTTCAAAAGTGCTGATTCTCTGTCTTTTACTTTAGATGAAAATAAGGAGCCACTCCCCACGCCCCTCTGAGAGATATTTGGTTAAAAAGAACACAATGGTGCTCTAGGAGGAGATGCAGGTAATAAGGTGGGGGGGGTTACCTTGGTTGGTGATTGGCTAATGGTTACACAAGCCACAAAATCGTTATGACATCATAAAGTGGCCAAAATCTGATCAGCTCATTTTCAGACAGGTTTTTATATAAATGGATCTGGACAAAAAGTGAGCAAATGTTTTTTCCTGAAACTTTCAGAATCTCTTTACACAGAGGGGACACATGTTTATGTATAAAAGACGTGAAAAAGTGGATTTTCTATAATAGTTGACCTTTAAAGCAAGGCTTTTGAAAT